TTTTTTTGTCTTTTTGAGACAGGGTCTCGCTATGCAGTTCAGGTTGGCCTTGAGCTCACTTTGTAGCCCAGGGTGGTCTCAAACTCACAACTATCCTCCTGCCTCAGCCTGCAGAGTCTATATATATATTTTTACATACATTTTTTTGAGACAAAGTCTCAGTAAATTGCCCAGGGCTGGGCTCAAACATGCAGTGCTCCTGCCTCAGCCTGTCAAAATGCTGAGATTACAGGCATCCATCACAACACCCAGCTGTAATCTTAGTTTTTAAGCAGTTTCGTCTTGATAAACAGACTGATTCCAAATTTTTATTATCATGACCAAAATGTGTGTGTGTTCACAAATGTCTTCACGAATACATATTTATGCTATTGAGCAGAACGCTGAACACATAATAGGTACTTGATAAATGTTTAGTGAATACTTCCATTTTTCTTTTAATGGGATGGCTTTCATCAGAGTAAAGATATTAGCAGGGAGAGTGGGAGAGGGAGGTGGAAGGGAAGGACTCTGCAGTCCAACTGAGGGCCTCTCTGCTGTCACAGCTGTTGAACGAATGCTCCAGGATGAAGGCCCTGGGATCCAGAAGCTGGCAGAAATAACCCACAACCTTTTAAAGAAAATAGCCAATAGACCAAGATCTACAACTATTAAACTTGCTATCCAGAGATTCTTTAAGTTCTCCGCCAAGGAACTGAAGCTTATTTATAATTGGAAAAGTACCACACAGACAGACCTGTAAGCTTCCTCTCTCGATAACCTACCTGCGTCGGTAGATGCTTTTCTGAAAGATGCTACAGGCTTTCACTGCCCCTTTTCAATTCTCTATTGAAATGTATAAATCTGAAAACTCTACTGCCTCTGTGTGTCTGGCAGTGACTAGAAGTCATTCCTCACTTCTAGTGGGGAATAGGTTCCAGGTCCCCAACAGATCTGAACCCGACGGCTGTTTAAGTCCCTTACACAAAATGGCATAGTATTTGCACATAAGCTACACATATCCTCCCACATATTTTATATTTTAGATTACTTATAATGCCTGATACAATGTGCATGCTGCATAAATAATTGTTATATGAGATTGTTTAGGAAGTAATGACAAAAAATGTGCAGATTTAGTGCAGACACAGATATCCCAATATTTCCCATTCATGGTTGATTGAATCCGTGGATGTGAAATCCACAAATATGGCTTATACCCCACTGTATCAGCATGGTTCGGGTGAGAGGCTCTTGGAAATTGATTGAGTGAGCATGTGCCGAGCACCTTCTACAAGGCACATGCGTTGGAGGCAGTGGGGATGCCTGGGTGAGATGGGTAAGATCCCCGTCCCAGGGTGGGCAATCCAGCGACAAGCAGTGAGGTCCTCTCCAGCTCGCTGGGAGATGAATGCCCCTTCTCTTCTACCCATCGGAGTGCGGTGTTTCTGTAATGTGCCAGCTTGCAGTTCATGTGGCTTTTCATTTCTCCTTTATTTCTTCGTAAATGAAATAGACCAGAAACCGAGGATCAGCTGTCACTCTACCCGCCCCAGGACACTACAGCTTCTGACTTCTGAGCCAGGTGGGCTGATTTCTGTGGGAAAGGACACCAGCTCCTCAGGCAGGACCCCCACCTGGCGAGCTCCTGTGGTGGAGGCAGGAAGCGCCACACACCCCTGTGCTCATGGGGTCCCCCTTGTCCTTCCTTCCCCCACTTCACGCACACCTCCCCCGCCCACTGCCTGCCTTGCTGATTTCAGGCTCCGGGGTCGGAGGGAGACAACACCCTGGAGAGACTACTCGCCCAGCTCCGCCAGCTGCATGAAGTCAGAGCCGTGGTTCCGCTTCTCTGATCAACCCCTGACTGATACGGTGTCCGGGATAGACTTTCACCCCTTCTTGCTTCAGGTTGGGTGGATGTTACTTCTATGATTTGCCTTACCACCCTGTGATCGTACCTTTCATTACAGTTATCAGACTGGCATAAAATGATCTATTTTCCTTCTGCACCCACAAAATTGAACTTCTTCAAAGCAATTGCAGTATTTTATACTTGGTTGTATACTTTGGAACTGACACCCAATTAGGTGCCTGACACCTAATGCATGCTTGATGAATACTTACCAAATCAATAAAGTGCTAATAGAACATATTCCTCTCATATTTCAATAAAAATTTTCACATGTTTATGTGTGCTCTTTAATGGAAACAATGCAAGAATGGATTCTTTTGATTTATCCCTTAGCCCGTGTTATTTTATATTTCCTAGAAGTCTCAGGCTCACCATTCAAAATTAGGGCAAATTTCCATTGCCCGCTACTAAACTAGCAGGATACCTAGGGAACCAGAGTAAATAATTACTTCCTCAAGGATAATCAATTCCTACTCCCCAGGACCTCGGGATATATTGCTTTATAAGGCAAAAGAACTGTGTTTCCAGAGCAGAAGTGCCTACTCACACTCAAGCAAAGTCATGGTAATAATAGTTTTTGGGTTTTTTTTGTGTGTGTTTTTGAGACAGGGTCTCGCTATGCAGTTCAGGTTGGCCTTGAGCTCACTTTGTAGCCCAGGCTGGCCTCGAACTCACAATGATCCTCCTGCCTCAGCCTCCTGAGTGCCGGGATTACAGGCGTGCGCCACCATGCCCGGCTAGTTTTTGTTTTTGTTTCGCTTACTTGTTTTGAGACAGGGTCTCCCTGTACAGTTCAGGCAGGCCTTAGCTCACTTTGTAGCCCAGGCTGGTCTCAAACTCACAACGATCCTCCTGCCTCTGCCTCCTTAGTGCTAGGATTACAGGCGTGCGCCACCATGCCTGGCCGTGGTGATAATAGTTGATCAAACTTGGTAATAATAGTTGATAATAATTGATGATAATAGTTGATCAAACTGTATGTCAGATACTATAAGGCGTTTTGCTTACTGATTCTTCCCAGCATCTAACCTGTCAGCCATTATTCCTGTGCCCACTGGACAGACAAGGAATCGGAGCCAGAGTGTAGGGACGGGGTGAGAGATGTATCTGTACTCAGGGACCCCAGAGCCGGGGTGCTTAATCCCCCTCCACCATTATATTTGCCTTACATGGATCTGCTTTTCCCACTGAGTATAAGCCCAGTTTGCACATTAGCATCATTTAGGTTCTTTAAAAATAAAAAAAAAAAAAGACTTTGGGCATGAGGCCCAGGAATCTGTGTGTTTCAAGAATACAGGTGGACCCAAGCATAGTGGCGCATGGCTGTAATCCCAGCACTGTGGAGGCTGAGGCAGGAGGACTGCTGTGAGTTCAAGGTCAGCCTGAGATACATAGTAAATTCAGGGGTCAGCCTGAACTTAGAGAGACTCTGTCAAAAAAGAAAAATGCACAGGTGGATCTATACAAGACAATATTGTGAGTCAAAGTGTTAGTCCTTGAGGTTGGATTGAACCTAATACTGTGCTTGGCATGGGAGGAAAAACTTCAAAAAATTATGTACAATTTATTCTACATAACCACTTATTGTACATAACCACGAGGCAAGTAGTAGGAGCCAGACATTTATTTATTTATACACAAACATTTATGTAGTGCTCAGCATAAGCAACACACCACACTGAGAAACACAGATATAAATTAAATGTTCCCAGTCAAATAAGGTATTGGCAGTCAGTTCTTTCACAATAGGGTAATGAGGAGAGGGAGAAGAGGCTGTTTCCCTATAGTAAGAAAAGCCCAGGCTGGGAGTAAAGCTCGGTGGCTGAGGGCACACGTAGTGTGTGTGACATCCTGGGTTCAATCCCCAGCACCAAAAGGATAACAAAGAAAAACTGAATTCCAAAGACAGTCACTGTTTAGACTGTTACAAATTGCCAAGCATGGGACAAAGCAAAAATGAAGATGCATTAATTTGCATCTTAATTTGTTTACTTTTCAGTATATTTCACTTTTTTTGCGATATTTAAACAAACATTGGTGCCAGGATGATAAACAGTAAATCATGTCCCTTCCGGTGTTCACATGGGTAAAACAGGCCCACGGGTAGACGGTTCTCTGGCAGGACAGTGTCCTATAGCCTTGCGGCAACAAATGAGGAACACCGGCTTCACGCAGAGACCACTGCTAGCATAGTTTTTAGCGCCTAGCCTGGGAGAGCCATGAGTTCAAATCCTGGCCTCTCTGCTTCTTAGCCAGGAGCTTCAGGTGATTTCTTATGCAGTTCTCTCACTGTGATATGGAGTTAGCGGCCCCGATAGCAGGCACAGGATTATTAGGACGTTTTCATGTGATAATTATGCAAGGATGGTTTACCAGATATTAAAGATGGAAACATGAATAATAGCCGTTGGATGGGTGAAGGCCCCATCTCTCACCTGCCCACCTTCCTCACTTGGCTGCCTGAGTTTGCAGCACAAATTTCCCGGGAGCCTCTCCTTGGGAAGAGCTCTGCCTGCGCCTTCCTTCCGCCGCCAGCCCCGCCCAGCCAGGCAGGGTCCCCGGGGCAGCGTCGGCCTTGCAGGCTTGTGCGGCACACCTCGTGACTCCAAGTCTCATTCCGCTCCCAGGGACCACAAGAGAAACCTGGGCACGTCGCTCTCATGGTTCTAGGGCGATACGCGACCCAAAATATAAATAATTTTAAGAGTAAAATAAAAGAGCATCAAGAGAGACAGGCAGGCAGGCCCTGCAGAGATGGGCAGGGGCTCTAGGGACGGAGACAAGGGGGTGGGGGGCGGAGGAAAAATGCCCAAGGTGCACCGTGGGTGTGTAAATCCCCCACGCTGAATGTAATCACTATGCGCAAAAACGTAACAGTTAAAGAAATGTTTAGAAATTCTGTTTACAGCCGGACGTGGTGTCGCATGCCTATAATCCCAGCACTCGGGAGGCTGAGGCAAAAGGATTGCCACGAGTTCAAGGCCAGCCTGGGCGACGTAGTCAGTTCAAGGACAGCTTGAACTACACAGCGAGACCCTGTCTCAAAAAAAAAAAAGAAAAGAAAGAAAGAAAGAAAGAAAGAAAGAAAGAAAGAAAGAAAGAAAGAAAGAAAAGAAATTCTGTTTAGAGTGGCACACCTTGTATCTCGTAGCCTCTTACCTCTCTAGATGCTTGATCGCCTCTTGCTGCCGATGCTCTTGCACTGAAGAATCACTTGCAGTTGCGCACGCACAGGGAGTGGATTGGAGCCCGGCAGCCTGGTTTCCCGCCCTCCACCCTAGCCCGCGACTCGCTGGATGGGCGTGCATCTGAGCATCAGCTTCCCGTTCAGATATGAGGGCAATGAACGTTTTCAACTCTGAGTTGTCTAGAACTCCTTTAAAAAAAAAAAAAAAAATGATTTCTTAAGTTGTCCGGAGAGGGCCCGCCGAGAGCCCGTGCGAGCCTGGGCGGGCTCGCTTCCCGCAGGCAGAGTTCGCCGCAGTCTGGAGCGCCGCTTCCCGGCCTGGGGACTCGGCTGCCAGCAGATGGCGTCCTCATGTAGAGGACAGCGCGAAAGCACCCTCGCGGGCTACAGTGCGTCTGGCAGCGATGAGCACCCCCGGCTCAAAAACCAAAGATAAAGGGGGCAGAGGAAAGATCGAGGAGCGACCTTCCTGCACCCGAGGGCCCGCCGCCACCAGGGGCTCATCGCGGGGGTGTGGACATCAGCGTCGAGGACTTTGCAGGCCAGAAGGTGCTACGTGAGGCCAGAGTGTCCCCCAGACTGCCGCGATGTTGCCAAGCAGCTGCTGGCTGTAGGCGCGGAGGTGACTAAACGCCCTTGCACGATGCCACCAACACACGTCACTAAAGGCTGGCGGCTCCCCACATCCCTCCCACGATTGCTCGGCCCTCTCACTTGGGGACCGTCTTGCAGCTCTGTCTTCCTCCGTCCTAGCAAGCCTTCGCATTTTCTGGGTATGCACAGGTGAGTTTCGCCTCCTCTACCTTGAAGGCCCAGTGGTCCCTGTGTCCACCCCCAGCTTCCATGCCCTGGCGAGCACCGGGACAGCCTCCCACCCCTAGCACATTACAGGGCCCCCTTCCGCCAGGGAGGTCTGGCTAGACTTAGCAGGTGAATGATTGTCCCCAAGAGGAAGGGCAGCAGCACACACTATCACTGTCACTGTGGTACTGTTTGATTTGGAAGGCAGATCCAAAAGTCTGGAATATTGGAAAGCCGAGAGATGTAGCCAACACACCGGCTGACAGATTGGAGCCTAGACATGTCCAGCCCAAGAGCCCAGCCTCTTGGGGAAGGGCTGCCTCCAGGTCTGAAGCTGGGGACACGCAGCCTGCATGGTACCACACACAGCTGCTGGGCAGCAGGTTGCAGAGAGGACCAGAGTCTTACTAACATCATTATCAGAGTCCCCGTGAGATGCCCCAGCCACAGGCTAAGCAGTCTGCCCGTGGTGAGGATGATGACCATGTCTGACTGTTCAGAGTCCCCCTGCCTGATTACATATTTGTTAAGTTTTTAGGTGACATAGTGGCATGACAGTTTGTTCTAAAAGGCCCTTTCTAGAGAAATGTACTGAAAGAATTTATGCAGTGTCTCATATTTGCTTGAAAAACACCTAAGGAGTGGGCAGGTGTGAGTGCAGTTGGGCTGGCTGTGAGCTTCAGTTGAGGTCACTCCCTGTGGAGGCAGGCAACCACTCCCTGTGCTTGCGCAACTGCAAGTGATCCTTTGATGGAAGAGCATCGGCAGCAAGAGGAGATCACACATCTGTAGAGATAAGATGCTACAAGATACAAGGTGTGCCACTCTAAACAGATTTTCTTTTCTTTCTTTTTCTTTTCTTTTCTTATAGTGATCCCTCATGTAGATCATTACACTTTGTCACCATCGTTCTAACTTTCAGCATGTAAAAGTCAGAGGCCATAGAGAGCATGAGTGAGCGGGATAGAGGCTCACGTCGTCCAGGTTGGTCTGTGCTGTGGTTTAGGTAGAGAACGTCCTCCCAAAGCCTCAGCTTTCCAGAGGTGACCGGGTCATGGGGACACATAGCTGGCTTGCCAACAGGAAGTGGGACCTGGCCAGAGACGGTCACTGGAGGCATAACTGGGGAGGATGCATCTCCTTGCCCACCTCCTCTCCTCTCTTTGCTTCCTGGCCACCATGATGTGAGCAGTTTTCCTCCGCCCAGGCCCTGCCACCATGCTGCTTCTGCTGAGGAACCAGTGACCTTGGACTGCAACCATGAGCCAAAAGAGACTTCTCCAAGTTCTGCCAACTGT